GTCAGCACTCAGGCTTTGCAGAACACTGAGCGTCTCTGCCATCTCAGCAGCTTGCTGCGCGTACGCCTGCACAACATTGGCACGCAGCAAGGCATAGTCCATCTCTGGCTCGGCAGCCCCAGCTCCACAGGTAGACAAGAGCAGCGCCAGCAACAAGCGAAACAAAGCATGAACCATGCGCATGGACATTGCGGCGACCTGACGCCCAGCAGGACCAGCACACACCAACGAGCAATTCTTCTTTCCTTCGCAACTATCCCCCGCACCCTGGCTGATTCTTTGAGTTGCGCGACCTCTACACCAAACCTACTCTCAAGAACCCCGTATGCACAACACCAGGGGGGGGGCGCGCCGACCTTGTACAGGAAATGCCGGGCAACAGTCAAGAACCAACCGGCCCACCATCTAAGCCCCACTATATACCCAGCTGCTCAGCAACCAGGGTGGGTGGGTGGGAAAACGCAAAGCAACCTTGCAGTCAAGACTGCAGCGTGAACAAACCGACAATGCACAGGCTCTGTTCAAACTCAACTCGAGCACGCACACATACAATGTACAATGTATGCGCGGAGAGAGGGCCGGTGTTCTGCCAAACCCAACCGAACCGGGAACACCAACACAACTCAAATTCACTCTGTCTGTACTGACAGGTTCGTCTCTATGTTTTCTACTATATGCAAGAAAAAACCCACCCGCCAGCCCTCACTGCCGTGACACCCACATGCAGACAACTCGCGCTCTGATCTTTTCTACCAGGGATGCGCAGTTGAAAGCTTGTGACATCCTCTCGTTTTGAGAGTCTAGCATGGAACCACAAATTTCCCGGAGGCGAATGGGGCGGCGGTGGGCAGCTAAACGCGGCTAGGATCCCTTTCTGCCCGAGGCCTATCCACAAACTGTACCCGGCTCGAGCAGCTAGCTGTGCTCGGACTTACCATACACGTTCTGTGCACTCACTCCATGAACATGTAGGGGCGCTACTCGGTTCATGAGGGGTTCCCTCATAGTGCGTTGGATGTCCCTGATCTCAGGGGCCGCCCAGCGGCGCGCTGCACACAGCGAATACTCATGGGCATGATGGGGGACAACACCTCCCACAGCCCACAGCGGCACCCGGGCGGGGCAAACGATTCTTGCCTAGGCACACTAGGCAGACTCTGGCACACAGAGTCTCACATTTTGGCTCGAGTACACTTGAGCCAACAAAGCAAGGTACATGTTTCCAAACATGCTCACTGTAGTGATGCAAGAACGAAGGCTGTTCACCTAGCCTGCCCGAAGCACGAAACAGCGACAAGATCAAACCCACGAGACGACTCATGTGCTTCGCTTCGCTCCGCACAATTTAGCACTGACGACAGTGCGCACGTGTGATTGGCTGCGCTTGCACGCGTACATGAAAGACGTGCAGCTGCACTGCTGCTGCCTGCTATGCCCTAAGCCCTATCACGTAACGCAAAGCTGAAGCAGCTGAAGCAAACATGCCACACAACCAACTATGAGCTTGGGCGAGCGTTTGTCAGCTTGTCGCTTGCCACGCAAGGGACCTCTTGGGGCACACAGCACCTTAGCGTTTTGGGCTGTCGGACGGGTTGGGCTCAAACGCGCTTTGCTGCGAGCAGCTGGAGGACATCTGCAGACATTGCAAGCACGGCATCAAGCTCCGCGCGCCAGGGCCAAAGCTGGCACCCACCTTGGCCGGCAAGGACTCAGCATCCACCCGCCTCGACGACGATCGTGACTGGAGGAAGGCTGGCCAGCTCTGCTTGACAGCCAAGCTGGTCCTCGGCTTGCAAGAGTCCAATCTTGGAACGAGACGTTGGAGTGCAGCAACAAGCGCACGCTGCCTTTGCACACTGGCGCGCAGCAGTGCGCCCACCTCTTGCACTGCAACCGAGGCGGCAGGGTCATGGTCTGGAACTGCCACTTGAAAGAACTTGTCGCCACCACTCAACGCGGCGTCTTCGCAATCGGCTACTGCCACCTGTGCTCCCGTCACTACGAGGCACGTGTTTCCCTGCTTGACTTGCCCATCTTGAGTGACGACCCATGACCCTTGGCCTTCTTGGCATTCAATCAAGGACAATTTGCCAGCCACAACATTCAGGCAGCCCCCGCCCAGCGCCTGCAGCTTGCCTCCTGCACCTGCAAAGATCTCTGCACCCGTGCCGCCCACAACTGCATCTATGCAAGACTTTGCTGCCACACCGCTGCTTGACGCGACCACACATTGCTCCTGAGCTGCTGGGACACCGCTGACCAGCATGAAGGCAGACGGCCTTGCGATCGCCACTGCATTGGACAAGCCAAAATACCCCCAAGGCTTGGCGCCACGCATCAAAACTTTCACAGCCTTTGCAGCCACTGGCTCGGGGAACAAGATTGTGTCCTCGAAGCTGGGCTCTGGCCTCGAAAGCTTTCGCCAACCGACACTCTCCTCGAAGTTACCACCGTCCGAGCTGGTGAGCACTTTGACTTCACCGGGAGCGTAGCTCCATCG